TTTTTTGCTACTGCGGAATAGCTCTAAAATAGACTTTATATCAAAAATCAAAGCACATTCATCTCTTCAAGTCAGGTCAGTTCATTCTTCCAGATATTATGAGACTTCAAAAGGGCAGGAGTGAAGAGTCACAGCGATGCAGAGAACTATGACATTATCTGCAGTTCCTGGCTGCAGGAGGCAGTGACTCCGAGCACCAGGTGCCCAAATGAAGCTTGCTACATTCAGTACATAACAAAAAAATGAGTGTTTGTAATTTTTTTTCTGGGATTTTAGATGTAAAGTGGTTGTGGCCTTCACCCAGGAGCAAAATAAGACCCTAGCAGTAAATAATTTAGGAATTATTTAAGGCCAAACTTTATGCCATATGATTACTCAGATAATGTTGCCAATCCCGAGGCTCATGTAGGAGGCTTATTTGGAAAGTCTCGGAAGACCAAACTACATCCTTCACTTGGGAACATTCACAAAGGAGGACACCTGCTGAAAAGGTTTACAGTGCAGAATAAAGGAAATAATCCAGTTTGTCTTCCGCAGCCTTAATCAGAAGGGCTGCCTTGCACTTCCTTTAAAACCTTGAGAGCCACATGGTAACTGCCCTGCAGCAAACCTGCCCTTCTCCAAGGCTGTCTGTCCACAAAGAGTACCAAGTGACAGACGAGAGCAACACATGAAATCCCTTTATTTCATAGGGGGTTATTGGTATTGATCTCAGCACAGGGTGGAGTTTGTTTTTCCAGTTATTTTCTCTACTTAAATTGGAGAAAGTTTTCATAAGAGCTATTCAAAGTTCCTAAATGAGAAGGAATGTATTTTTTGTATTTCCCAAGAGCTGAAGTGATGCTGATCCGTATTCTGGTTTGCACTGTTTGGATGACTGGAAATACAGGGTAACAAAATGGAGCTAATATAATGTACCTAATGCTCAGCGGACATCTTTCTAAATAGACCTGCAACTTACTTAATGTTTGTATATTATGTAATAACCTTTCCTGGGTATCCTTGCCACCATGGATCATGAATTGCATTTTCTGGGAGAAGTGTTTATACTGCATTCATATGTGTATGTTCTTCATAAGCAGCTTTTTTGTCTGTATTGACAGGTCTCACCAACTCATAATCGTCCTGCAGGGAGTGGAGAGCAGAAACAGTCCCACACAGTTCTTTCATCACCGCCTAGAGTAGCATTTGGCTTGAGGTATGGGACCATTAGCTCCTGCTGACAGACCAGCAGCCTCAGAACCTGGAGGGTGTTTAGTAAGTAAGATGTCAGTGGCCAAAGAAACAGAAAAACCAGACCACCCACCATGATTGCAGTTGTCAGGCAGTTTCTTACTAGAATGCTTCAGAGTAAGCGTTCTGGACCTGTTTTGCTTTTCATTAACATCAAAGGTAAAGTTCGGGGGGAAAGTGAGTTGTTGCGAAATGAAAAAGGCAGACGGTGAAGCAAAACTGCAGGCCTTATGCCAGGCGCGTCTGGAGTTCAGATGTTGATCTAAATTGCCCTGTAAAGCAATGCTGCCCAGATTCCCTGCTCCAGCTGGAGCATCCTGAACTTCGTTATGTGGCTTTGCTTTCTTTCTGAAAGTCTGGGCTGTCTTGTGTGTTCATCACCATTCAGTCAGTATGGCATTGGGCTTCAACTGAGTTATGAGAAACTGTACCTTACAATATATTCGATCAAAGCAAAGCTTTTTATGCTGTGTCTTCCTAGATGTGAGCTACATTCACTTCCGTTAAAGCTAACTGATGTTTGACCAGTCTGCTCTAACAGCGTTCGGAAAGTTATGTTAACAAATCAAAACGTGACACTGAATTTCTTACAGTAGAGAAACTCTTGATTTCTTACAATCCTAAAGGTGATTGTACCCTAAAACAAGACAAGAGGAAGATTTCATGCTTTTCATTTTCTTCATGACTTTCAGATCATTGCATATGCTACAAACCAAACTTAGGATCTTCCCAGTTCATGGGTTGTGCCCATTAATGAGTGTTCAGTAATCAAAAAACACATAGGTATGCCAGAGAGGAATCACTAGGCAATTCTCATGTGTGCCATGCAGCATATAATACAGGTATTAAACAATCCTGTCTGTACAGTTACTTGGTTTAAAGATGCCAGGACAGATGACACTGCTGTAGTGAGCGTTGGGTTACTTCTTGTAGCATCGCTCCTCAGGTTTGCTGGCTTGCCTCATACTGAATTTAAAAAGTTCCATTTTAACAGTTACTTTGGGCATTTTCTAAACTTGTGAACTGTTGAGCGTGGTTTTAAGATGGGAAACATGACAATCGTTATGGCTTTAAAAGCAGATACTGCCTGCCTTGCCACCTTAGGGGACGACAGAGAAGGAGCGCACGTGAGCGTGCTGCAGATGAGGGCAAGGGTTAAAACTTGTTTTCAGTCACTTGTTTTTCAGACAATGAGCTCAGAGCAAACCATGCAGGAAGGGCTGGCGAGCTTAGGAGCGGGTATCTTTTCCCCTCTTTTGCATGGCTGCTGCCTGCTGGTAGCCAAGGTCCGCTGCTCAGAGCTATGCAAAATATTTGTACCCCAGCTCTACAGCAAAGAGGACTTCTCTCCGGTGTGGCCTGGACTGTAATTGTAGGGTAGCTCTGAGTGTCCCTTGTGGCTCAGCATTTAACGTGGCTGAAGTAACGTTTTTCTAGACTGGCTAAAGTCAGAGCTGTATGTTCCTGGGATCATCCCTGGAGCAGAGGAGCAGGCACAGCAGCTGCTGCAGAGGCTGTAGAAGCCAGGCGAGGAGGAGGACTGGTCCCTCGGAGCTGTAGAGACACAGCCGTAGGTCTGTCTGCTTCGTCAGCTCCCGGTTGACTCAAAACCAACCCGAATCCCTTTGAAACGCCGGGGTCCTCTGCCTGCTGCACTCTGTTGAGATTGTTGTTCTGATCTTAGGGTGATAAAGCAAAGCTACGAAAGCATCTCGTTAACAAGCTTCCCTTTCTCTCTGACAGGAAGCCTAGAGGGGAGGGGAAAAAGTGTCGGAAGGTCTATGGGATGGAGAACAGAGATATGTGGTGTACTGCCTGCCGATGGAAGAAGGCCTGCCAAAGGTTCATCGACTAAAGATTGAAATTATGCAGAGGATTTGGGGATGGGGGAGGACAACTGCAGAACCAGATTGCTGCAGCTGCACTGTATCACTTCCCATTTTCCCTCCAGTGATGTGGTGTTGAGGGGTTTTTTGTTGGGTTTTTTGGGTGGTGTTTTTTTTAAAAAGAGCTTTGTATTTCAAAGTGAAGCACTTGTAGCCAAGGAGAAGCACTAAATCAAAACCTGTGTGGAGCAATAGAGCAAAAAAAAAAAAAAAAAGCAAAACCAAGAACATACAACAAAATTCTGTCTTACTAAGTACGGAAACCAGAGCAGCTATTAGTGTTTTTCTGTAAAAGAAAGGAAAAAGTTAATTTTTTTGCTAACTTTGTGAGCTACTTGCTCCTTAGGATCATTTTTAACCATTTCAGTCTCTGTGCTGTGAACTTCTGTATTTGCTAAACTGAACAATTTTTCTTTTCCTGAAACGAAGATCTCTTTTTGAAAGCTTTCTAATAAACACTTTAGAGTCGTATAAGCTACAGTTTACTCAACAAAGCTGTACTAAGACCGAAGACTGCTAAATAATTCTCCTGATACAAATGATCATGATTATATTTTTGGAAAGGGAATGTGGGGAGGAGTTGGGATTTTTGTTTGTTTGCTTATAGGAGAAAAGCGAAGTCTGAATTTGCAAGAAGGACAAGCAGTGCCCCTGGAAGATTTTTAAACCAGGCACAGTCCAGTGGAGTGGAACAAAGTAATTTAAGTACCAAATTGGATTTTGATCCTCTAGAGGAGGAAAAGCAGCAATGGAAAGTCACCAGCAGATATTGTCACAAGAAGAAGTTGGGGGAAGAAATCCAGTGATGCTTGACTGAAACCTGTAAGAATGTAACGGGGGTCCAGTAGCTTTTCTTAACGACTCTCCCATTTCTGAGGGGGGACGAACAGTTGGACCAGCACATCTGCTGCTGCGAGAGGCCTATAAAGAACTGGTAAATGCAGCCACCAGGATTATATGTAATATGTATTCAGGGACACGACCCAGCCCAGCAGTTCTGCTCTTGCTTCTTTTTCTCTTATTTGAGAGATTGTTGTTAAGATAATGGTTCGCTCAGCTTTTTTTTTTCCCTTCTATTAAAGTTGCTAAGATTTATTTGATGCAAAAAATTGGTAGAGAAAAAGAAAATACTCCCTTTCCACAACATCATCTCAGAAAAAGATGTACAACAGCAAAGGAGCAACGTATTTATGGTAAAAGTCCATTTATTAACTCATTTTGATTTATGAATTAACAAGTTTCTCTACTTGCAGTACTTGGATAGATTTGGGTGCTTTAGTTTCTCTGTCTATTAGAAAGCATACACCGGAATGCAGCAAGCTGCTGTTCTGCCTCAACTTGTATCAAATTGCCATTAATTAACGATTATTTCAGTGCAAAAATGAAGGAAGGATTTATTAGGATATAAATGTATATAGTTAAACAATACTTACCTGTTAAAGAAAACAAGACACTTTAAAAAAAATCGAAGACACAGAAGCAAAATTTTGTCTATTGAGAGGGGCATGGAGGCCCACAAATTCCTGAATTATTTTGTTTTTCTTACAATTTGAAATTAGACCAGATCTTTTTCTTTCTTTTTTGTTTTTTTAATTGTCTAAGCTGGCTCATCCTCACTGAAATAAGGGGACTCTTAAGTATCTAAACAGCTTTCTAAAATCTGGTCCTAAGGTCACGTGATAGCTTTACTAAGCGTGCATCGCTGCTTATGCCCATGTCAAAACATAAAATAACAATGCAGTTGCTTAGAATATACACTATGAATTCAGTAAAGTAGTACTGAAGAGTAAAATGTGTAATAGGAGCTACTGAAGGTTATTGTCTGATTTTCTTTGAACGAGTTGATTGGGCAATCAGATGCCTAATTTGAGCATGCTATTTCTGCAGTTGTTTACAGATCGTGTAATTTACATGCACAAGTGGCAAGACATGCTTGCATGCACGCAGTTACTTGATTTTTTTGCCCAATTGTGTTCTCTAAGTCATTTAAAAAAAAAAAAAAGAATAGACTGATATCTAGTAAGACCCTGAAATGTATACACGTTTG